AATTTCGAATTGTTCATGAAAAAAATATGTATACTTTTAGAATTTTACTCATTGTTAAATATGGAGTGGACGCTTAAAAAAGACCGTGTTGCAGTTATTGCGTTGCATCGTTGCGGTTACGCGCCAATTCAAATTTTTAACATACTGAAAAATTTGAATATAACCAAAAGATTCGTTTATCGTACCATCAAACGATACAATGAAGACTCTAGTGTAGATGACAGGTCAAGAAGTGGTCGCCCTCGGTCTNCATTAAGAAAAGAAAAGTTCTTGAAGTATCTCACAATCCGACACTTATTTATATAGAAAATTAACCTCAAAACGAGTTTTTATTTTTATTATATTTTTTATAATAGTGGCGTCAATTTCAATATATTTTTTAGATATCCAATACATTTAAGAATTTGAATCAGTACATTTTTATAGTAATATTTGATGTCCATCTTGGGCCTAGCACTATGGAGAGTGGGCAATCCCCTTTGTGGACCGGAGCTTGACTTCATCAAATAATAATTACAGAACCACAAAGTTATTAGTTTAATAATGGAAAATTAACTAGTTTAATGATTTAATAGAACATGATATATTCTATTAAAAAAAGATGTGATTGAAGATTTGACAAAAAAAAATTAACTTTCTAAAGAGCGGGAACTGTTGGCCTTAAAATTTTACCTTTGTTACAAATAATATTATTTTGAATTTCTAAAAATACTTCTTTTTTTTGTAATTAATTTTTTTTTTGTTGTAAATTAAATATATAAAGTTTTGGTATGATTAGATTTCGATATTATAACACTACGATATATGCCCACTAAGTCTAAGAGGATAGAAGTAGTTAATTAGTACCTACAAACATCCCAACCGCAGACACCGGGTCCAAACTTAGCAATTATTCTTGGAGGAGGGTTAAAGAAGCTAGGCTGACCCCTGATAGACCCTTCCTTCACCACACACGTCTTGGCAAATGGATTCTTGTGACAAGTCAGTCAGTTATCGGACAAGAAGTCGTGCGAAAACGGCGAACGTGCAGTAATTACGCAAATTATAATTTTGCAGGTTTGATTTTTATTACACGATGTTATTCCTTCACCGTGAAAGTCAATCGTGAACATTTGTTGAGTATGTATTTCATTACAAAAATTAGTACCCGCCTAATTCAACTAAAAATTAAAAATAAATAATAGATAAAAAAAACTAACAAAATACTCTTTTATAGAAAATCCAACTAAAAAATAGAAAATAAATTTTAATAAATTTGAATTAAAAATAGTGTAAGAAAAAATGATTTTATTGTAAAAAAAAGCGTGGGGTGCATGGTATCAGTAGTTATATATATTTTATGAACAGATATGAGTACAAGGGTCATTTTCATAACATCCTGAAAAGCACGCCACGCTTTTTTACAATAAAATCATTTTTTCTTATACTATTTTTAATTCAAAGTTATTTAAATTTATTTTCTATTATTTAGTTGGATTTTCTATAAAAGCGTATTTTGTTAGTTTTTTTTAAACTATTATTTATTGTTTATTGTGGTGACGGACGACTAGTTAGTCGGTTAGTTATGTCTACTGTTTAAATACTATACAGTATGATGTTTTCCACATAATTATACAAAGTTCTTTTGACTGTCGGCAGAGCTTTGCGCGTAAAATAAATAACGTCGTTTTCCAGGTGGCAGACGGCACTAAGCTTAATTTGAATGAGGGTAAATCCGTTCGTTTACGACAAATTTACATAATCGCCGGGGGCTGATTAAATTTGTACGAATACTCCGGAATCTGCGCTTAGCTGTTTGCAGCATTGTAGTTGATTATTGAAAATGTAATAACTATTAGAAAATCGTCGGCTCGAACTTAAACAATTAATGTACATCGCCGAGATAGTTGTAGGAAAAGGCTAGGTTGCCCTTTGCTATTTCATCTCACACAAGCAGTGATGAGTTTCTGTTTAATGGCAAGGGCATTCCTACATGGGAATGGAGTAGACTTCACGTACACTGTGATATGAACTTTTTTTTTTTTTTCGGGCCGGGGGCCGAACCTCCTACGAGGTCCCCGCGCCTAGGGGGCGCGCGGGGTATGTGAGACACTGTGATATGACCTATACTAACTTCAAATGATCATTTGAAGTTAATATAGGTAATGTCACGTCATATCAGTCATATTAACAAATTTCAAAATTGCAAAATAATAAATGTATGTACGTACTTTGTATTCACACAATAATCAGTTTTCGGTTGTGTACGGAGATTAATTTCTGTGGTTCGATAAGGGCCATTTAATTAACAAGCTCTTGTTGACCCTCTTCGGAATAGTTCCTGTAAGGTTTCTTGGGTTTCGGACAAGATTTTTGCAGAGCCGAGGTTCAAAGTATAAGAGAATGCGGGTTTTGTTGCGTTTAGCAGACGTAATTAATTTATTGTAAAACGTAGATTACGTAAAAAAGTTTTTAAATTTTTAAAGGAATTTGAATGAATAATCTCTCTGCGAATGATAAAAAATCCATTATCGTCTGATTTTTAGTCTTTTATGTTCGTGTATTTTTTTACAAGTAAAACTAGTACTGAGCTAGCAAAATGCCGGGAAAAGACTTATATAGCTGAGTACATATTTTGAAAACCTATTTGTAATTTTAATGGAAGCACAGATTAGTAGCGTTTTTATTTACAATGCCCGTTTGTACGTCTCTTTGGATAATCGAATATACCTAATATGTATTACTATTGATCGATTTCTTTTACTACTTACGCTCTTATTTCTACGCGCGTTCTGATGTGAAGGTTTGTTCAGCTGTAGTAATAGAATCGGGATTTTTAAGTCTCCTAAGTCTTTGTATCTCAAGACGAGGGGCAGCGTCAACAGTAGATATTTAAAAATTCAATTGATTGCGGGTCGTAAGCTCGTTTTCCAATCCATGTAAACAAAATCGATAGGGATATCTCATTTTCAAAACAATAACTAATAAAAAATGTTCGTAATGATGAGTTATTCGATATGGTCCCTACATTTTCTTTTTATATAATAGCAGCTCCTGCCACCGTAAGAAGACATGGACGACCATAACATCTAGAACCCCTGCGTTCATCGGCAGTGTGTTTCCAGAGATCTTTTTTCTCCGAACCATTCGGTATTAAAACTACCATCCCGGGTGTTTCCCGAGCGCTATGACGTATACTTCTTCAAATGAGAGTTGCGGGGAGAACTCAACGTCATACAGCCACTTGCCTGTTCCCTTGGTATTGCTGAATCCATGAGCGACGTTACTTATCATCAGATGGGCCGTATGCTCGTATGCTTACAAACGTCAGAAATAATAGCAATAATAATAACACCAATTAAATTTTCTATTTATGGAATGGCAGGAAAAATCCTGTTACTACACAAAATACCTATTATTAAATGAAAACGCTACATGCTTTTCTATAGACCAAAACACAAGGTGTCGGAACCGACACCTCCGTCAGTGGTCATTGAGGAATTATTCGCTCGGGGCCAAACTGAAAGGGAAAAGGCCGTGATCATTCAGACTGTGTTAAATTGAGTCTCGTCCAAAACTATTTCGCTTATAATTTTTTATATTCTCATTAAATTACGGACTAAATATATTTTAAAATTTTTCATGATACAAATTAAATTTGTAACAGAAACTACTAATTTTAATTCAAACGTTTGATTACTATGATAAAATTTCGCCATTACTAAAAAAAGCACTATTCACATATTATTATGTTTTAAAACATGGTTACAAATTATTTGTTTATCGAAAATAACAATAGAGTTTACTTATGTATATCGAGAATATATAGTGTATATAATAGTATAATAGTAGTTGTATAGTCCTAGTAGTATATATAATAAATATCTATAGCCGAAATGAAAATAATACATACATACAATATAATATGTACATACTCAATATAATCTATATATATAAAAATGAATTGCTCTTCGTTAGTCTCGTTAAAACTCAAGAGCGGCTGGACCGATTTGGCTAATTTTGGTCTTAAATGATTTGTGGAAGTCCAGAGAAGGTTTAAAAGGTAAATAAATATGTAAAATGCTCGAAAATCCTTTGATGTGCCCCCCGTCGGACGGATTTCTTTTGTTGTTTTAAATTTATTTCATATAAAAGTTTAGGTCTTTTCTTTATCGATTGAGACACTACGAAGTCTGCCGGGTCAGCTAGCTGGAAATAAATATTTTATGGAACTAAGAAGTAATATTGAACTATACTTGATGTTTGAATTATACTTGTGTTTAATACAGAATATTGTCTAATCCGATTATCCAAAAACAAGACATTGAGGGGACCTTCGCCAAATGTGCTAGAAATCATGGATTTCATGGTTCAACAGAAATTCAGTAGAAGTCAAACTGCGTGCAGTACCAAAACTATAAAAGGCAACTTGTAAAGTATTTTCAGTGTCTCACTAAGAACGATTTTCTTACACCATAATAATTTAAATATTTTTTAAAAATTAAAAAACCTATAATAATTTAAATACTTATACTTACAGTGGTTAAAAAATCAACATAATAAATCCATGGAGACAATTTAAGCAAACCTTTATGTTGCTCAGCTTTTTAAAGTGACAAGTGACAACAGAGTATTAAAATCGTCTTGAAGTTTAGACCAAATCTACTGCTCACGCTAGAAATTAATAGAAAAAATGCGCAGGTAATATTATCTGTTTATTTTCCTTTCTAAGTTTGCATATTTTATTATTACACTTGTAGTTGCATTCTATTAATCATTAGTAAGATATAGTACAGATATGAAATAGATACATGTACAATATTTCATTCTCAGTGCTAGAATTTCCATATTTGTATCAAATGGTGATATTCAGTCGAAACATATTGAACAATATAATGATAAAAATCGCAAAGTCTTAGTTCCTGCAAATTGCGTTGGTGATTACAATTTAATAAGCTAAATCTTTAATTTCATTTTGGTTTAAACACAGTTGAGTTTTAAATTTTATAAAATATTTATAGGCTTTGAGACCATACTATACAATAACGTTTATGACCAATAGGCTAACAACGGATGAAATCTACAAGAGGCGCTTAGAAAAAAACAAATTACGGGCTTTTTCAGCAATTTGCAGTGATGAAAACGAAAAAGAAAATGAAAATCCGAAATTCAAAGTTAATAACACCAAGAACGCAACTTCAAAAGTCAGCGAACAGGAAATCCATAAAATTGAACATAACCCATTTAATTTGGCTAGTCACGTGCGACTTTTTACGTTAAGAAAAAGTGAAAAGAAATCAAGTATGCCAGAACCTTTCATCACCAACGATCCAAGAACAATATGTGATATTGATAAAACTTTTTATAAAATAATCGAAGGGAGGCCTCTGAGACAGTTCAGTGATATAAAAGTTTATATGAGGAATATAAGAGACATAACATTATTCAGAGCAAACATTGCTTATCGGAGAGATCAAATAATTAAGATAGATACGGCTTTACGAGATGAATATACTGAATACGAAAAAATTGAGACTTTTTTTACTGAAACAAAATCTAACTTTGTTCGATTCGCCCAAGAATGCTACGAGAGAGGAAAAATTGTTGAAGCCTTGGCCAATGCAAAGTCTATTGAACTAGACAAAATGGTCGATCAATTAGAAAATTACAGCTTCATTTGCGTTAAAATACGAAATCAGTTGTCTGGCTTACTAGCAACGTTTGAAAATTTAGATAAATATCGCGGATTCTTATTTTCGCTGAGCCCTATGTCTTGGCAAAATAAGTTCATGTCACACTTTAACGAAAATATTATTGACGTAAACTACCTACAAGAAAATATTACATCAGCAGAAACAATTAATGGTTTAAAAGTAACACTTCTCAAACTTCAGAAAGTAAGTCCGGAGCTATTTTTCGATGAACCTAAACAACTTATGACTATTTGCGATGATTTGGGTAAACAATGCTTAAATTATATGAAAATAAATGTTTTTGCAAATAACATTATTGTTCAGGTGATGAAATATCGTGGCTTTTATAGAAAGATAGTACAAGATGAAGTATTTGAACTAGAAGAATTTATTGAGATTTTCCAGAAATATGTAGTTTGGATGGAAGACAAAGAAAAAGAGAACAAAGCTATTTTTGAAAGGATATTATTAAATGAGTTCCATGAATTGTTCGCTTCATATGATACCGCTAAACTTTTCACTTGTGTACAATACGTCAATACCCGTCTCTTTGAAACGCCAGAAGATCCAAAAGACAGTCTGTCACTTCTAACGGGTCAATTAGAACTACAATATTTAGAACTTACATCACAACTGGACTGTTTGGATCAAGAAATAGTAAAGGCAGCAACGAATGAACTCTTCGCTGAAGATATAAAAATGATGAAGATGGCACACAAGGCACAAAGGGAACTCAAAGAGTGTGATTTACTTAGTAAAGCTTTGTATACTAGTTTCGAACCGCCGCGATATAAACGTAAATAATTGTAATTCCAAGCACTGTCTCAATAATTAAATCATATTAGCTGCTTACAATAGTGTGGTAAGAGTATTTTGCTTTGGGCGGGTTACTCCGAATGTAATTATCATAAGTTAAAGCATACGCAGCTGGGCCTATTCCACATGATTATTCTCGCCCTTCGAGACTCAACGTTTACTTTCATGAGCACCTTAATATAACAAACGATACGGGGCTACAACTTACCAGCGGCAATGTGAATTTAACCACATTTCTCGATGTGAATTTGTTGTTTCATCTTAATATGTAGAATTACGTTAGTGCCCACATCGGACATTTAATACCTACTCACTTAATTTTTTATTATTTTCAAATACTTAGTCTTATCTTTTGTTTGAAATAAAATGTTTCTTTTTAATATTGGTGTTTTTTTTTATTATCAAAATATCTGTTTACTCAATTTGAAGGTTTTTTTTCTCCTACCAATGCTGATAGCTTTGAGAGACTATATCAGCTTCTCCTTGACGTGTAGGTGAGCTCACGGGGCTCAAACCGGGTGTTTTGCTCACACTGGCCCTAGTAAGAGTAGTGCTTCGCAGAATATATCGCCGGATCGGAAACGCGACCTACTGAGAAGATTCGGCGAGAAACTTAGTGGGCTGTGTCTATGGGTTGAATGAAAGTTTAGTATTGGATCCTGACACACAAAGAGCTGGTTTCAAAATGTTTCATGTTTAAAATTGTATAAGCAGATAAATATTATCATTAGAGGCTAATCGGTCTCATGCGAGGTTTGGATGCTGGTTGTTGAGCGACAGGAGTTTTTAGTCGGTTCGACTCCGACATGCCCCGCCCTCCATCCCCAGTGAAGAGCGGAAGTCCGGCGATTTCCTCCTGACAAAAAAAAAGAGGCTAATCGGTAAATTAATTCATACAAAATTGATATTATAGTGGTACCATTTAGAACATTAATAATACATTATTTATAAACATAATATGCACCAGGCTTCGAATCGTTGATTTAGTCACTTGCGTTAAGAATTTGTAATGAAAAACGATTTATCTCGTTTCGATTTGTTGGGAACGCAAAAACTTCATATTGTGTCAATTTAACTTCTAATCACTTTTTAAATACGTTAGCGCGCCCGATCAACGAATAAATTTGAATTTATTAACAGACTGAATCGCTCCGCCCTTTTCTCCGTCAGTCCGAGGGGAAGTAAATTGATTTTAGACGAATTTCTATTCACTTTTATAATACCATTTTTTATCACAATGAATATTTCTGGGATACTATTAAAATTTAAATTTCAATAGATTCATTGACGTAATGACACAAAACAATCTATACTAATATTATAAAGAGGAAAGATTTGTTTGTTTGTTTGTTTCGAATAGGCTCCGAAACTACTGGACCGATTTGAAAAATTCTTTTTCCATTAGAAGCCGACATTGTCCCTGATGAACATAGGTTACTTTATTATTATTATTTTTTTGTTTCATGTGTGTTTTAGTGTTTCCGAAGCGAAGCGAGGGCGGGTCGCTAGTATTATTATAAACGAGTATGAAAAACGTAGTCGCATTTCGTTATTATTCTAAAACGAACTAAGACATACTTACATATCGGGAAGTCGAAAAGAAAAGCGTTGTTTTCATGTAGTATACTCCTTTTAGACAGAAGTACCGTTTCTCTGATTTTTCGAATAGAGATGTCTCATTCTAAAACAGACTTTTTTTATTATTGCTAAGATTGGTGGACGAGCTCACAGCCCACCTGGTGTTAAGTGGTTACTGGAGCTTATAGACATCTACAACGTAAATGCGCCACCCACCTTGAGATATAAAGTTCTAAGGTCTCAGTATAGATACAACGGCTGCCTCACCCTTCAAACCGAAACGCATTACTACTTCACGGCAGAAATAGGTAGGGTGGTGGTATCTACCCGTGTGGACTCATAAGAGGTCCTACCACCAGTAAAAAATCACTAATATGATTTGGCATTATTTTCCAAAATACTACAATAAAATACAAATCTTATTATATGAAGCATTATACCACGTACACACTACACGAAACAACTTACAATAATTCCTGCTAAAACGATGCCCTCGCAATGAAAATGCCTCATTGTTCTGCTTTGACTGCTAAGCCTCACAAAAGACGCAACGAGCTGTCAATTGATAATTAATATTGTTTTATTATATTGCTCGGTATCTCGACGAGGCACAACTCTCATTCTGAACCAACGGAGCATAATAATTCTCTAATGCTATTAGATGTTTATATAACTTTTAATTAGGAATTGTTGGAATATAAACGGAAGCGAATCCCCCATGGTATTTTTACACTCGCTTGGAGAAGAGCTTGTTAATATGAAGGCTATTAAATTTATTAATATCCCTTTTTATTCTCATTTTCGATTGAGAAATATAATTTAGAAAGGTACAAAAAACTTTGAAAAAGCACAAATCTTGCCCTTGTAGGAAGACGAGCATACAGCCCATCTGATGGTGAGTGGTTACGGTCACTCATGGACTTCAGCAATGCCAGGGGCAGAGCCAAGCCGCTGCCTACCGTAAAGTAACATTGTTCCACTATTAATAGAGATGATCATTTTCTATTACACTTTGATGAAAATAAATAGATGTGTTTTACCGATTTCATTGTAGTTCGGTGAATTTGGGAGCGCTTAAAGATCACATCGTGTACCACTACCAGCCAACCTGGGAACGTTGAGATCCAAATCTCAACTATATTGTCTAACGTTCCAACTTTAGACATAAATGCATTGCACATTATATGTATGTATTATTAGTTACAATACAAACGCATGAGTGTTATTACAATAATATGCCGAAATAGAATAAATATTGGCAACCGTAATTTATTAATGTATAGAATTAATTTTAATATATGCGCTTTTGATTTGATTATTTCTTTTTTTTTATTGCTTAGTTGGATGAAAGAGCTCACAGCCCACCTGATGTTAAGTGGTTACTGGAACCCATAGACATCTACAACGAAAATGCGCCACCCACGTTGAGATATAAGTTCTAAGGTCTCAGTATAGTTATAACGGCTACCCCACCCTTCGAACCGAAACGCATTACTGCTTCACGGCGGAAATAGGCGGGATGGTGGTACCTACCCGTGCGGACTCCCAAGAGGTCCTACCACCAGTGATTACGCAAATTATAATTTTGCGGGTTTGATTTTTATTACACGATGTTATTCCTTCACCGTGGAAGTCAATCGTGAACATTTGTTGAGTACGTATTTCATTAGAAAAATTGGTACCCGCCTGCGGGATTCGAACACCGGTGCATCGCTACATACGAATGCACCGGACGTTTTATCCTTTAGGCCACGACGACTTCTTTAATTAATTTAAATTAAATAATTTTTTAATTAATACCAGCCTTAGTTTCTTAATCACGACATCGTCGTAATATTTAAAAGTTTTTAAATAAACAAGCTAGTCTTATTAGATTAGATATCTCAACGGCCTCACCCAAGGTCTATAGATACAATAACGTCACAATCTACTATTAGACGTTTGAAGTGATATGTGTGATGTACATTTCCATTTTATTAGAGAAAAACTCTTGTACACTTAATTAGTAGTTCACGATCGTTTCGCGATAGAAATTGGTTTGTTTGTGCGTTATTTATAGAAGTGATGAAATGAAATTACTCTTAAATACGTACCGTACATATGTCTATTATTTCTTCGATTTCCACTTCGATAAAGCAGCACGACACGAGAACCCTCTCATCGTGGCCGCGAGTAACTACATTCCCGATCCTGCGGAAAGAATGGAAAGCAGTCGACGTCGCCCAAAACACGTCATTTCAGATCCTCCCGATCCACTAGCGGTGCTTTTAGGTAGTTCAAGCACCGGTCACCGTTCTCGTCGAACCCGTCGCTTGCGAGGAAGGGCTCGACGAGTAAATTAACCCTCAGACACAGCCCACTGAGTTTCTCGCCGGATCTTCTCAGTGGGTCGCATTTCCGATCCGATGGTAGATTCTGCGATGCACGGCTCCTGCTAGGGTTCGTGTTGGCAACGTCGTCAGGTTTGAGCCCCGTGAGCTCACCTACTAGTTAAGGTTACGCTGGAATAGCCTCTCAAGGCTACCAGCTTAGGTAGGAACAAAAAAATCTTCGATTTTCTGATTTATGAATATTAAATATTATCTGAACATGCTAACTGTAATAAAACGATTAAAAAAAAAACAATTACATAAATTTTCTCATAAATATGTATTTGTTAAAATCTGCAGTGTACAACAATTTGATTCTCGGGACTTTGAATTAATTTTGAATATAGCTGGTAAGATACGTGCGAAAGCCCGTTCATAATGAATTAGGGAGACGATCCCTTAGCGTCGGGGGCAGGTCGGGCAAGCACCTATGTGGCTACTTGATTGATTGAAACATATATTTCGTCTAAGTTATTACTTTTTCAACAATTACATTTTAGTGGTAATGTATTTTGCTAATGAACACATATTTAATCTAAAGTTATGGATCGTTTATGATATGAAATATATTAATAAATTAAATACATTTTCTTTGCTTAGGTGGGTGGACGAGCTCACAGCCCACCTGGTGATAAGTGGTTACTGGAGCCCATAGACATCCACAACGTAAATGCGCCACCCACCTTGAGATACAAGTTCTAAGGTTTCAGTATAGTTACAACGGCTGCCCCACCCTTCAAACCGAAACGCATTACTGCTTCACGGTAGAAATAGGCAGGGCGGTGGTACCCACCCGCGCGGACTCACAAGAGGTCCTACCACCAGTAAACAATTGTTTTAAATGCATATTTTTACGATCCGCTTTAACCTCAATGGTGTTCTCCTTGGCGGTTGTTATTGTTTAATTTTATGATTAGTTAGCTGATCCAAGAGTTGACAACACAATTATTGTCGTCAGTACTCGCGCATCACATTTCGTACGTTGAAAGTTAATAGGTGCCTGCGTATAGCCGTTGGATCGATATTAGCTCATTTCCAAAA